CAACAGATTTAAAATGAACCCAAGCTAAATCAAGCTGAAAAGATGAAGTTCATGGCTGTGGCTTACCGGAAAAGCCCAGAATTTCGTGCCTAGCAGCATCAGTGGACAGGGGAGGAAGAGCAGAGCAGATCTGAAATTTCTGGGTTAAGAGAGAGAGTTCTAAGTCCTAAAACTTGTTATTGAGCAAGAAAGCAGGAGAAATTTCAAGCTTTGTCACCAATTTTCTCAAAGAAATGAGTTGGTGGCTGGAGGGGCTGTCGGGGATGAAGAACAAGAGCAGAATCGGGCTGAAGAAGAAAGAGAAAAAGGAGAAAAAAATAGCTGATCCTTATCCAAATTCTTTCCTCTTTTAAGCCCCTCAACTTTGGATATTTTAGCTAATAAGCCCCAAAATAATATTTTCTCTCACAAAAACCCTTACTTAAATGCTAAAATATCACAAAATTTTGGGATATTACATTCACCCCTCCGAAAAAGGAGTTTTGTCCCCAAAACTCAAATTGAGGATCATCTTGAGTGGTGAATGGCTTCACACAAGCCAAGACAAAACAAATGCTCCACCAACTTTCCACGATCAGAACCTAGCCTACTACGCTTCCGCTGCGCCACTCTGATATCGAACCACAACTAATTATAAAAAGCAGAATATTAACTACTTAACAGGGTTTACCATAAAACAAGCTACTAGAGGCTGGGGTGATATGGGGAAGCACAAGGAATAAAAATAAATCCTGCCAAGGTTACAAAAGAACAATTGTGGGGTTACGCTATGAACCCTACACAAGACGAGTTGGCAAAAAAAAAAATGGCATGGATTTAAAGACGAGTACAACAAAATTTTGAACTCTATCAAAGATGGATAAGCATCCAATGGATGTACGAATCATGAATGAATGAATAGAGTGCATGGATGCTTTATAAATTTTGCCACAAAACAAGGTTAACCAATAAGTAAGATCATGTTTAACAAAACAACTGCAATCAAGAAACAGCTTTTAGCAATTAACAAGAGCTAAAAGCTAGACCCATCAAATGACATGTGAAATTTTCAGAATAGCATCAGAATGAAATCAGTGGAAAATATGAATGCTTGGAAGAATACTGGAACATAAGAGTGCAAGGTAGAATGCCTCAAAAATTCAGCAACAAAATGGCATTCACCCAGAGTCAAGATCAAATTTAACCAAGTAGTCAAAATTGAGAGACAAAAGTTAACCATGAAACAAGCAATAGAATTCAAGGATTACGCCCACAAAAGAGATTTCAACAATGACAACCAGAACACGGATTCAAGAGCAGATATAACCAGGATGTCAAGATCTAGCACCCCAAGTAACACGAATTAATTAACAGAATAATCAATAGTAGGGATTAGGATACTTAGAAGATTACTGTCTTCCAATTAAAAGGACAAACAAAAATCAAAGCAGCCAGATAAAAGAACCATTTCTCTTTGAACAAAACTCTAGGGCATCAAGTACTTCAAAGATTACCCCTTCACCTCGTAGCCCATGGAGGCTAAGCAGATTTACAATCAAGTCATCCTAAACATCCTAGAGTTAAGTCAAAGCTAAGACATCAAGGATACAGAGATTAACACTTGCAAGAGACAAGAATGATGATGCCTCACATAGGTATTTTCTAATAATCATCACCCCTCCTAGAGAGGTGTCCATATGAACAAAAATCAAAAATCAAGAAGATCAACAGGTATACTAAAACAAGAACTAGCATAATATGCAGGATTTGAGCAAGAGCAATATACAGAATTTGAACAAGAGTAGCATATAGAATTTGAGCAAGAGCAAGAGTCAGGACAAGAATGGTTTTCAAGGACAATTCAAAATAGATTCCAAAAACCAAATATCAATTGATTTTCAAGAAAAGGATGCTAACAGGACTTTACTCCAGGCAAGGTTCAAGATAAGATTCCAAGAACAATGCAAGAATTAATTTCAGACAAGAATCAAGATAATGAGGATTTCAATAATCATTATCCATTTCCTTTGGATCTCAGTTTCAAGAACAAGTACAAAGCAATCTCAAGAAAGATTTAAGATGGATTTCAAGAGTTTCAAGCAGTTCCAGGTATCAAGAATGTAGAGATTAGCAACAATAGAGAGTTTAACTTTATGACAACTTGCCAATCTTCACAAAAACACGGCAATTTCAATTGAATTGATTACTGTTTTTTATTAACCAATATGGAAAAATGAGCCACATGAAAAGACCATGAAGCTCCAAATGAAAAAGTGAAACTTCACTATAAGACTTTCAGAAAGATAATGAGCAGCGAAATTACCAAGTTATCCAGCTCCTAAAACGCATCTAGAAAACACACAACATTTGCTAAAATAGCCTTGAATCTTTTACAAAGTAGAGGGTTTGCTCATCTTCCACTGGTCATGTGACAAACAAAACAAAGTTCTCAACCAGCTATGCTGTAGAGACCAACAGGATCAATAACAAAAGATCTCTGCAACTCCCCAGATTTTACAATTGTGGCAAAAGAGCATGCAAAATTCTATTCAAGTAACAAGTCTAAACAAGTGCAGACTATCAAAAAATGACCAAGTTTCAAAACAAGGTCTTAAGAACATGGCGGACAAGATTAATTTCATGAATCTACACAGGGTATGAAGGCAGGAAAGAAGAACAATCAGATTACCATCTCATCAAAATGGATTAGAAAATTCAGGTAACATGAATCAGAATCGTCCCTGATATAACCCCATCACTCGTCTCACCACGGTTTTAAAATCCATTAGCTAGCCAAGTTCTAAACAAATCCTAAGTATTCAATTAAACCTAGGTATTTAATTAAATTTAAACTTTGATACCACTCAATCTGGAGGTGCTTAATTTAATCTTAAGCTCTTAATTTAAACTTAAGCTCTTAATTTAAACCTAAGCTCTGATACCACTTAATCTGTCATGCTCCAGAATCCAAATCCGGGGACGTGGCAGACGCCGTGCACTTGTGAATGGGTCCCACGAATGCACAAGACTCGGAACTTATCATACCACAAGCTGATACCACAAAATCTAAAGGTAACATTTTAAAATTTGGCCTGATATCATTAAATCTCCAAATAAAGTTTAGCTTATAATATCATGATTTATATCTGAAATCTATGTTCAATTTACAAAATGGCTAGCCTTCTAACTCGTCATTCCCCTCGTTTTTCCTCGTCCTTGAATTCGCTTCCTGAAATGGTGGACAAGGAAAACTAGGTGAGATAAAATATCTCAGTAAGTAAAAATATAGATAGCCCGGGAGTAAAATTTTAAGCATGCCAGATAAACAGCTTAACATAACAAAACGTTCAATGATAAACCGTTAATACAAAATCAAATTCAGCTCAATAGCAAATCGTTCAATGACAAACCGTTTAGATTCAGTTCAATAACAAAGCGTTCAATGACAAAACTGTTAATGCAGAAGAAAATTCAGTAGTAGTCTCATCTATAAGTCATGGCCAGCGTCTAACACCCACTGGCAGGTGTCAGAAATTACCAATGTGTTTGCCCATTGGCAGGCGTCAGAATTTACCAATGTGTTCGCCCAGTGGCAGGCGTCAGAAATTACCAATGTATTATCCCATTGGTAAGATTACAAAATGAACCGGTCATATCAGTAAACATGTCGACATGTGCTAGCGTTACTCCCACTAGCGGGGGTCAGAAATCATGATTATATCAGAGACAAAACCATGCAGGATTTACAAAAAATTCTGAAATTCACAATCAATCTCAAATTCCAGAAATAATCAAAAAAATTCCATTTGGGCATGGATTTAACAGGAAAATCATAATTTACAAAAATTCTCAAATCATCAGAGCAGTTCAGTAAATTCCAAGTGGGTATGCTCTACTCAATGAAAATGAAAATAATTCCATTTTAAATCAATCATGCTCGGTGCTAATAAAATCAATTTAAACCTTGCCACCATCTCAAAAA